AATTTTTAAACATCAATTTAAAAGTATTCATGTTTATTCTTTAAAATCATATTCATATCAGACTTGAATTCCACAATTTATATTTTTAAAAGTGGAAAAGGAGTGGGCATTTGGCCTACCCATTGGGACGCCTATGTCCCACATCCGCGTGCCTGGGTTCAATTCCCAGCTCTGGCTCCTGACTCCAGCTTCCTGCTAACGCAGACCCTGGGAGGCAGCAGTGATGGCTCAAGTGATTGGGTTCCTCCCACCCCTCTGAAAGACCTGGGTTGAGTTCCTGGCTCTTAGATGTAGCCCCTGCCCTGCCCTGCCCTTGTCATTATGATCGGTCGGTCGATCTCTCTCTCTCTCTCTGTCTCTCTCTCTCTCTCTGAATGTCTACCCTATGGAGTTATTGGCTGGATTAAATAAAATTAATTTGCAAAATTCCTAGCCTAGGGCCTGCCCCGGCAGGCACTCGGTGGATGGATGTTCTGCCAGCCAGCTACTGCACTAATCCGCACTTCCCTGCTTCCTTCTTCCAGCCCCTGGGCCTGGCCTGGGTGGGGGTGGGGTGGGGGTGGGGCTGAGTGCCCCTGGCCTCCCCGCAGGTGGCGGCAGAGTACTTCAAGAACACCACGCTGCTGCTGGTGGGCGTCATCTGCGTGGCGGCGGCCGTGGAGAAGTGGAACCTGCACAAGCGCATTGCTCTGCGCATGGTCCTGATGGCCGGAGCCAAGCCGGGCATGTGAGTCGCTCTCGGGGTGCTGGGCTGGGGTTCACCCCTACAGCGCCCTGTGTGCCGCAGGGATGGGGGCCGGCCTTGGGTCACAGTGGCATGTCCGCCCCAGCCTCTTTTTCTACCAATGGGGATGGGATGACCCCAGCGCCGTGCGGCCCCGTCTTCTCTTAAAGTGAGAGGGTCAGTGACCATGGAAGGCAGTGACCTTGGTGTCCTTACCGGCATGGTCTAAAGAATTACCTGACAACTTAGCATGCAAGGGAGCAGGTCCCAGCACACAAGGGGATTTCAAAAATGCTTGTGGAAAATGGAATTAAAAGATTAGTTCATTTGAGTGCAAAAGCTTTTTGAAATCCATGCATGGTTTTTTCCTAATACACGTTTTCTGTGAGCTTTCGGAAGACCCCTTGTCAGTGTGGATGGCGCAGTGGGAAAAGCACGGTCCTGGCCGGCGCCGCAGCTCACTAGGCTAATCCTCCGCCTTGCGGCACCGGCACACCGGGTTCTAGTCCCGGTCGGGGCGCCAGATTTTGTCCTGGTTGCCCCTCTTCCAGGCCAGCTCTCTGCTGTGGCCCGGGAGTGCAGTGGAGGATGGCCCAAGTGCTTGGGCCCTGCACCCCATGGGAGACCAGGAGAAGCACCTGGCTCCTGCCATCGGATCAGCGCGGTGTGCCGGCCGCAGTGCGCTGGCCGCGGCGGCCATTGGAAGGTGAACCAACGGCAAAGGAAGACTTTTCTCTCTGTCTCTCACTGTCCACTCTGCCTGTCAAAAAAAAAAAAAAAGAAACACCACGGTCCTGTCTCCCACACTGTCAGGTGGAGCTGCCGAGTTTAATTCAGCGCCCTCGTTGGCAACAGTCCTCGGCCTGCAATGGCATCTGCACATCGCGTTGGAACCCTGGCTCTGTAAACCCTCTGGGTGCCATCGTCAGTGGAAACACTTCCACTGTCCCCTGTTTACGACGTCAGCCAGCAAGTTCCCAGCCCCCGTGGTGCATTGCAGGACAGCAAAGTCTTGTTGCTGTCAGCCTGAGAGTAAACACCATCAGGCCTGGTGCCCAGGTTGTGCAAAGTCGAGGATTTCACCTGACGTGCTAAACACGGGTGCTCGTTATGTGGCTTATCCTATGGGAACGGGACCCCTCATCTGTACACTGATCCACTGAGCCACCAGTAACCCCGTGTCCTGTGACCTGGCCAGAGCGAATCCATTGCCTACGGAAGGGCTTCTTTCTGACTGCAGTCACTAGCCCAGGACGTGCAATTCATTCATTCATTCAACAAACCCCGATTTCATGCATACTCTGTGCCGAGCAGTGCAGCTCTGAGTGGCACCCAGAAAGACATCAAGGCCCGATTTCGGTCCCAGAGTCACCGCGGGGTGGGCCCTCGGGAGCCCGCCCTCCGCCCTCTGCCCACCGCCGCCCCGCGCCTCCTGCCCGCAGGCTGCTACTCTGCTTCATGTGCTGCACCACGCTGCTGTCCATGTGGCTGTCCAACACCTCCACCACCGCCATGGTGATGCCCATCGTGGACGCCGTGCTGCAGGAGCTGGTCAGTGCTGACGAGGAGCAGCTGGCGGCAGGCAGCGGCAGCGCCGAAGAGGCCGAGCCCATCAGTACAGTTTGCTGGAGTTCACCTCCCCTTTGCTCCCCCAGCCTCCCCTCGGGGTCTCCCTGCCCAGGGCCTCCTCCCCTAAGCTCCTCCCCTCCTCTTCCCTGACCTCCCCCCCACCCCCACCCCAGCCCTTGGACCCAGCCCCAGCTCTTCCCGGCCCCCTCCCTCTGCTCCTTGCCACCACACGCTCAAGGGTCCCTACAGAACCCTGGGGCCCGCCCGTGTCCGTGAGCCCTGCCGCACCTGCAGAGCGGGGGTGGGGGGAAGAACTGTCACGCGCCACGCCTGCAGCCCCACCCCGAGCCCCTCTCCCACCCACAGCGGCAGCTCCAGCCTCCACACAGCACCTCCCTGTCTTCCTTGCTTCTTAGGTCTTGACGTGAACAACAGCCAACCTTCGCTGGAACTCATCTTTGTCAATGAAGAGTGAGTATGACTGTCTCCTCCCAGACCACACCTCCCGGGGTGCACTGGAGAGGCCGGGGGGCGGGGTGGGCCCTGAGTGCCCGAACAGCTCTTCTGGCTGTGTAGCCCAAGCCCCCTGTCGTGCTGCACCCCCCCCCCCCGCCCCGACCTCCTCTCCATCCCTAGGAGCGCTGGCTGAGGTCTTGGGCGGCCCCCTTAACCACAGGGTACTGTAATGATGACAGTGAAAGACCACGCCGAATCTCATACGGGAGTTGTCCATACAGCTACCCGGTAGGAGTTCACCTGAACTGCCCCTCTGACGAGACCGACACGTGTATGCATCGAGAAACATGGAGTAGATTCCACTAGAAGCGCTGGGACACCCGCAGGCTGTTTGCTAGACACCAGATTCAGCCTTACTAGCCTGGTCCCGTTAGCCATGGCAAAGGAGAGCGGAGGTGACAGGCAGGGATTAGGGGCAGCTCGTGAGAGGTGGCCGTGGCGGAAGCTGGAAAGGGCGAACTCGTCTCAGACATCCTGAGAGGTAAATCCGGGAGCAGCTGGCTCGGGTGGAGATTCTGAGTCGAAATGTGACTTCCCGGGATGCCATGGTGAATGCTATCCATGCAGACGCTGGCTCTGTGACGGAGACCAGGTTTCCAGTCGGCCCTTTTCTTTAAAAACTGGAGAACTCGCGTGGAGTGAGATCAGCAGTGGAACAGGTGCAGAGGCGCACCGAGGGCCCCGCCTTGCTCTCTGTCCCTCGGTGTGTGGTTCTCGCTGTCACGGAGCAGTGCCCGCCTCTGCGGGAAGACACAGAGACAGGGAGGGACCGGGCGGGTGCTTTCTCACAGGGCCAGGGCCAGCTTCGCCTTCGGGGCCTCTGCATAGCCCCAGGCCCAGAAGCAGGCCAGGCTCCTGCTTGGGCTCTGCCCTGGAGGCCCACTTCCCGACAGCCCCTCTGCCTCTTGGGCAGGGCCTTTCCCAGCTGGTCCCGCCCCGCCTCCTCCCTCACCCCTCCCGGCCCAGCCCAGCCCCCGGGAGAGCGGACACACCAGCCTGTTGCAGAGTGCACGGGCTACTCCCGTCCCTGTGTCCCTGTGCGCCGCACTCCGGCCTCTGGCAGCACCGCACCTGCTTCTCGCCTTTTCCTTTCCACACAGAACTATGTGCCCCCAACCCCAAAGCAAAAGCTGGAGTGCCCCTCTGTGTGGCGGGGGCAGGGCTGCTCGTCACGCCGTGAGGATGGCACCCTCCTGACTGGTACCCCCCGCCCCGCAGGGCCACCTGGGCCCCTGCCTCCCTCTTGGGCCCATTTAGGAAGTAGCCAGGGACACGTCACGGCATATTCTCCAAATGATGTTTTCCTCCAAACCCTACCACCTCCCGTCCTTCCCCAAGAGCATCCGGGGACAGGGGATGGCCACAGGACGCCATGTCCTGCAGGTGTGCATCCAACGCTCTCCTGTGCCTTCATGATGGGTGAGCCACTAGCACCCACGGTCCTCACAGCTGGGACAGCCCAGAGACACTCGCTGAGCAGTAGGTGTGTTCTCAGGGCAGGCGCCGGCCAACAGGTGTGGGAGGGACTCCGTGTGTGCAGCCGACTGCCCTCACCTGGTCATAACCACCACCACCCCCATCTCCTCATTCCTACTTGCCTTTCCCTGGGTAAGGCCAGGCCTTTCCCTCTCGTGCTGCCTCAGATAAACATGGCACTCATTTCTATTCCTGGACTCAGCCTGGGGGTTTGTGGTCTGGGCACAGGCTCCGCAGCCAGCCAGAGACGGCTCCTGTCTGTCCGTCACTTAGAAGCTGGTTCCGGTAATGGTGAACATGGAGGTAGCGCTGGCTGTGCTGTGGGTCTGTTACAAGGATCGCAGTGTCCTGAGGGTTAGAGTGGACGTGTAGGGCTGTGTGCTTGGTGCACCAGTAGATGCTCCTCTTCAAGTCCTGACTCAGTTCCAGCCTCCTGCTGGTGCATACCTGGGAGGTAGCAAGTGAGGGCTCAAGTACTTGGGTCCCTACCAAGCGCACGGGAGATCTAGACTGAGTTCCAGCTCCTGGCTTCAGCCTGGCCCAGCCCCAGTTGTTTCAGGCCTTTGGGGAGTGAACCAGCAATTAGAAAATCTCTCTCTCCTCGCTCTCTCTTTCTCTCTCTGTGCCTTTCAAATAAATAGAAGATAAATAACCCAAGAGAGCAAATCAGAGTCAAAGGAGGTCATCCACTTAAAAAGAAAAAAAACCATGTTTAAGTGCAGGTACCCCACAAGGACCCCATGTCCGCCAGCAGGAGTACTGTTAGCTTCCCGTGGGAGGAATCAGGCCCTTGGCTCCACGAATCCCACGGCCTCTCAGACGGTGAGGGAGACCTGGGGGCCGAGTCTTCTCCGTAGGCCAGACACTGGGTCCCTCCCGCCAGCTGCCCAGCGTGGGGGGAGAGCGCCTGTGGCACACCTCCCATGGTCTGTGTTTCGTTCCAGCTCGTCGACTGCAGACTTCATTTCACTGATGCACCACAAGGTATGGCACCAGGTTCTTGCATACTTTGGGGTCACTTAGAAGTCCCTCAAGACAACTGGGGGGGGGGGCAGGATGCCGGGCAGCGTGTCCCACGGCCTGCGTGGATGTCGGGGTGGCAGGCGCTCACCACGGCCTGCACACAACAAGGATCAGTCAGGTGGCAAAGCCTGGGTTAGCTCCAGACTCCAGCCCAAGCACAGCATTTAGCCACAGAAAGTACACCTCAGTCATTTTTCACGCAAACCCAAGGTGTGGCCAGCCACACTTCCCGGAGCCACACACTCAGCCTTAGGATGCCGGTCGGGGAGGAATCCATGCAGAAAAATCTTATTAGGAGGAAGCCACACATGGGGGACCACAAAGCCCACCCACACACATCTGCTTGAATTTACCCCCTCCCCACGGAGCGCCACGTCTCTCCTTGAGGGGTGTCCCAGGCCAGGCCAGCAGTGGACATTGGCGTGGAGAGTTTTCCCCGCCATTTTCTTAGTGTTGAACAAAAATGAAGGGTTCCTCATTAGCGAGTGGAGTCGCAGGAGGTGAGCTCTCTGTAAGGCCAGTCACGTCCTGCCGGGCTCAGAGGCTGCGTGGGAAGCTGTGACGACGGAGGCAGTCCACAGAGAGCCCCCAGGGCAGGTTTTCCCTGGCTCATCCACTCCTGTTCCTAACAGGAAAATGGGCTTTGTTCCAACAGAACGTGAACGGAGTGCCCACAGTGACCAACACCGCCAAAACAGCCAACCCGCACCGGAGCCAGCGGCAGCCCGCAGCCCAGGTACGAGCACTGCTCCTGGGCCGTTCTCTGGACTTGAAACGCCTCGTGTTTCCAAGGGTCTTGGGCTTGGCTCTGTGAGGGCATCAGGCTGGTGAGCTGTCACCAGGCCACGGCAGTCTCTGTGCACCTCCGTGTCCGGCCCGGGGGTGGCCTGGGGAGAAAGCATCCAGCTCACTTGACTTTGGTGCGGCCTCCAGTGCCTGAGTCCCGCTCTCTTCCCTATGAAAGACAGGGCTGGTGTAGATCCGAATCTCTGACCACATGAAAGTGACTGCCCGTGGCCGGCACTGCGGCTCACTAGGCTAATCCTCCGCCTAGCGGCGCCGGCACACCGGGTTCTAGTCCCGGTCGGGGCGCCGGATTCTGTCCCGGTTGCCCCTCTTCCAGGCCAGCTCTCTGCTGTGGCCAGGGAGTGCAGTGGAGGATGGCCCAGGTGCTTGGGCCCTGCACCCCATGGGAGACCAGAAGTACCTAGCTCCTGCCATCGGATCAGCGCGGTGCACCGGCCGCGGCGGCCATTGGAGGGTGAACCAACGGCAAAGGAAGACCTTTCTCTCTCTCTCTCTCTCTCTCACTATCCACTCTGCCTGTCAAAAAAAAAAAAAAAAAAAAAAGAAAAAAAAAGAAAAGAAAGAAAAGAAAAGAAAAGAAAGTGACTGCCCGGTTTCCACCAATCAAATGCTATACTTACGGTTTATGTATCAGGGTTCTGTGCAAAGTGCCACCGGACCACATAACAAGGGCTCTTCCAGCTGTGATGGTGCATGGATCTTTGAGAGATGTTTGGAAGCAGCCAGCCTTGCTTTGGCCCTCCTGGGAAGAGGGGGCAGTGGTTAGGGGCTCTGGAGCCGGGTGACCCTTCCCCACTGGTTTTCTTGTAACCTCACCTACTGACATTCACCGTGCGAGTCCACGCTGGGTTTGAGACTCTCACCAGCTTTTCTTTGGCAGGGAAAGCCCCCAGCCCGGGCCCCCAACACCAGGAACCAGGAGCTGAGCCGGAAGTACAGGTCCCAGCATGACCAAATGGTCTGCAAGTGCCTCTCCCTGAGCATCTCCTACGCGGCGACCATCGGCGGCCTCACCACCATCATCGGCACCTCCACCAGCCTCATCTTCCTGGAACACTTCAACAAGTCAGTAATCCGCTCAGTCAACACACACTCACGAACCGCCCACTGTGTCTCAGGAACTGACCCGGCTCCCGGGGCTCCTGCACAGCCCCTGTCCCCGGCTGGCCGGGTCACGTACAGCACAGTGTGACCGCAGGAATGCAGGGGGAGCCCACCCCGGCTGCAGGGGACGCCGTGTAGGGGGGCCTGGGGCGCACACAAGAAAAGCAGACAGGGCCAAAGGAGGCCTGGCAAGTGGATGGGCGTATCCCAAAGGGCTTGGCGCAGCCCACGAAGGAAGTTGGACCTCATCCGAAAGGCTGTGAGAAGCCTTTAAAGAATTCTAAGCAGGCAGTGAAGTGATCAGATTTATAGTTTTGAAAACTCATTCTGGATGAAGAAATGGGGACTGAAGTGGAGAGGGCAGAGCAGGCAGCAGGAGGACAGCTTAGGACACGGCTGCTGTTGCCCGGGGCACGGCCTTGGCAGCCCCACAGGGCAAGGCGGTGGCCGGGGGAGGGCAAGGGGGGAGGCGGTGGTCCCGTCAGACCTGGAGGTCTCGGGAGGATGAGAAAGGGCCCGATGGAGGGGAAAACCCAGTCCGGCCCCCAGGCTCCCGGCTTCCCCGGCCTGGGGGAACAGAGGGCAAGGATGGGGGATGGGAACTTGGCATGCGGGTTGAGAGGTCCAGTGGGAGGTACAGGCTGGATCCCTAGAGGATTTAGGGGGAAGGCATAGGTCCTGTGTGCCCGGGCCAGTATGCTCAGCTTCCCTGGCTGCATATTCTTCACCATCTTCGAGCCAGGGTTCCCTATTTTCATTTTACGCTTGGTCATGGAGGCCATAGGAATGAGATTGGAATGGACAGCGCAGGGGGCGTAGATCAAGCACGCAGATCTAAAGCAGGCTGCACAAACGGCATCAGACAGGAAAAGAAAGCTGATGTCATCCCACCAAGGGAGGAGAGTGTTTGGGGACAGAGTGGCTACAATATGTGACGTCAGTAATGATGATGCAAAAAAAAAAAAGGAGGGGGGATGCAAATGCAAATGTAGCCATGAGACTGGGCGACACAGAGGTCCCCGGTGACCTGGGCAGGAGGAATCCGTCAAGTGGTGGAGAAAGAAGTGAGATTTCAGTGAGCTGAAGAGTGCGATGCGGGAAAGAAACAGAGCTGACGGTAAAGGCGGGCGGGGGGAGGGGGAAGGGGTTTCTAAAGTGGGGGGCCATGATCTCTCCCAGAGCCCCACCGCCTGTCTTCTTAGAGAGCATTTAGCTTTCTACCCCCAAAATGTCAGAGGGAAGTCGGCCCTTTGCTCATCGCCAACCTGGTCTCCCCGCAGCCAGTACCCGGCCGCAGACGTGGTGAACTTCGGCACCTGGTTCCTCTTCAGCTTCCCGATATCCCTCATCATGTTGGTGGTCAGCTGGTTCTGGATGCACTGGCTGTTCCTGGGCTGCAAGTGAGTGCCAAGGCCCCGCGGAGGCCGCACAAACCGGGGGACCCTGCGCCGGGGAGGGGGGGCCTGCCAAGCAGCTACAGGCGGTGCCCCCGGGAGTGTGCCGTACGCTTAACCAGGGAGTCAGGCACTGCCTGTCTGGATCCTCTATGAACGTTCCCAGCCTTGGCACTTCACTCTCAACGCCACAGTGAAATTCTCTCTCTCTCTCTCTTACTATTTGAGAGGCAGAGAGACAGAGAAGTAGATAGAGAGCTCCCACTCACTGGTTCACTCCCCAGATGGCCCCAATGACCAGAGCTGGGCCAGGGTCACAGCCAGGAGCCAGGAACACAATCTGGGTCTCCCTCCTGAGTGGCAGGAACCCAGTTACTTGAGCCATCCATCACCTGCCGCCCCCAAGGCTCCGCATGAGCAAGAAGCTGGCATCAGGACCTGGAGCTGGGAGTCAGATGCAGTCACTCCCATGGGGGATGTGTCTTAACCAGCAGGCTAAGTGCCTACTCTCGAAGTATGCTTTTTTGTTTTAAATAATTTTTTGAAGATTGTATTTATTTATTTAGAGAGATGGAGGCAGAGAGAAAGAGAGAGAGACAAAGACAGAGACAGAGATCTTCCATCTGTAGGTTCACTCCCTAAATGGCTAAAAACAGCAGGGGCTGGGCCAGGCTGAAGCCAGGAACCTAGAACTCCATCCAGGTCTCCCACATGAGTAGCAGGGACCCAGGTACTGGGGCCATCCTCTGCTGCTTTCCCAGGACATTAGTAGGGAGCTGGATCAGAAGCAGAGATGCTGGGACTCGAACCAGTGCCTTCGCGGGGTCCCGGCATCACAGGCAGCAGCTTAACCCTGTGTACCACAATGCCAGTGCCCTGAAAAGTTCTTAATTCCAACTAAATGGGTAGATCTCTGCAACTTAGGAAAACTCTGAGTGGTCAGTGTTCCTGCACGTCTCTCAGAGCACACCTAGTGATTCCAACTCCACGCAGAGTATGCCTTAGGTGTAATTTCACAGACAGGAGTGATTCCACCTAGTAGTGTCTACAGAATATGCGCAGATCCTTCAAAACAACAAGTCTGACTTTCCTGGCAGTATTATTTCCAGTACTGATCTGAGTAGCAAATCTTTTTTTCTTGACCATCGGTCTACTCCAAATCTAAGAAGTTACATATGATTTTTTTTCTACTAGTCCATAGAATTCAGCTATTAGTCCATAGAATTCAGCACTCCACTGGTCCAGGATCGGTGTCTGAGATGACTTATCCTTTTACTCACAAAGTGGTGTAAAACCAACGATGGGTGCCTACTTCCGTAAACCAAGTATTACTGGTATAAAACACCCTCTTTCCCTTGCAATAAGCTTTGTCTCTCAAAAACTACACACACACAGGAGATGTGTGTGTGTGTGTGTGTGTGTGTGTGTGTGTGGAAGGCACACAGACATCCAGACACGCCACCTTGCACGCACGCTTTTACTTACATACATGACAAACATGTGTAAACTCACTTGCAGCTGGTGGGCGCTGTGGTGCAGTGGGTGAGGCCACTGCTGGGAGTCCTGTCTCCCGTGCTGGCATGTCAGTCTGAGGCCCAGCTACTCTGCTTTGGATCCAGGCCCCTAACTTTCCCGGGAAGGCAGCAGAGGACGCCTGATGGGTGTGGGCCTCTAGCGCTCACATGGAAAGCCCAGATGGAGTTCTGGGGTCTTGGCTGTGTCCTGGCCCAGCCCTGATTGTTTAGGCACTGGGGGAATGAACCAGTGGATGGAAATCTCTCTCCCTCCCCCTCTCTCTCTCTCCCTACCTCTCTCTCTCCCTACCTCTCTCTCTGTCACTCTTTCAATAAATCTCAAAAGAAACACGCTTTCTTACATCTATTCAAGATAACCTCACACTGACACACCAGGAATAGACCCAAAGAACGAGAGCAGGAGGCTGCTGAGGCTGGGTGGGGGTGGGGGGGCTGCATGGGCGGGCGGGTGGGGGACAGAGCGCCTGGGTGAAGAGGACGAAGTGATCCGGGCAAGCGAGTGGTCTCCTATCTGCCAAATATTTGATCTATGGGCCTCAGAGGCAGGTTTTCTCTGTTCTTTCGCTCCCGTTCCCTTCTCAGTTTTAAAGAGACCTGCTCTCTGAGCAAGAAGAAAAAGACCAAAAGAGAAGAGCTGTCGGAGAAGAGGATCCAAGAGGAATATGAAAAGCTGGGAGACATCAGGTAAAAAAAAAAAAAAAAAAAAAAAAAAAAAAAAAAAAAGGAGCTAAATTAAAAACCAGCCGCCCCCGCTCCCCGCTCCCCGCTCCCCGCTCTGCTCCCCGCTGCCCGGCGGCGGGGTGGGGACCAGCAGGTAGAGTGAGCACAGAGGCCGCCTTGTTCTGGACAGCTCCCTGAGCTGGCAGGCATTTTCCACCGCTATGAATCCGGCCGTTTAGAAGGTGCTATTTAAGGCCAAGCCAAGCTGGCCCAGGTGGCGGCAGCCACCCTTCCCCTCCGCTGTATTCAGAGTGCAGGTGTGGGCCCAGTGTGGGGCGGCCGGAGAGAGGGCAGCGGAGGCGGGCACAGACGTCCCGTGGGCTCGCGCTGAGTCCCCTCGGGTCAGGACTCTTCCCGGTGCTCAGCTGCTCGCCTCCGGGGGGTGCTCGGGCCATCTCTGCTCCTTTCCCGGGTACATTAGCATGAAGCTGGACTGGAAGTGGAGCATCCGGGACTTGAACTGGTGCTTTGATACAGGCTGTGGGCATTGCAGGTGGCGGCTTAACCCGCTGGACGCAATGCTGACCCCATCATGATGCATTTTTTTTTTCACGCTTGTTGGGGCAAATTATATGTATTTTTGGTAAAACTTAGTCCTCCCGCTGGCACAGTTTCCGAGGGTGCCCATCCCACAGGCCTCTCCTCGGAGACTTTTAAACTGTCTTATGGATGGACAGAGCTCTGTCCTGTCTCCCTTCAGCCCTCGATTTCCCCAGGGACAGGGTTAATGCTACATCGTCCGGCATTGCTCACTCCTCTCCCAGATCACAGTGGCCAACCAGGGACTGTGTTTTATGCCTCGAGCATTGGAATTCTGAATACAGGGGCTTCCGGAAGCAGAGTGAGAGAGTTACAAGAAGCGTCCGCATCCCTGGACTCTTTTCTGTGTTATTTTACAGCTACCCTGAAATGGTGACCGGATTCTTCTTCATCCTGATGACCGTGCTGTGGTTTACACGGGAGCCTGGCTTCGTCCCCGGCTGGGACTCTTTCTTTGAAAAGTAAGTGCTACCCTGTCCTGCACAGGAGCGGCTCCCTTGCCCACATTCTCCAGGCTGTAAGCACTGGTGCCCCCTTCAGAGACTCGTGGGGCAGACACGCAGGCAGGAAGTATTTTGTTCCCTGGGAAACAAATGTTCTTTTCAAGGGAGGGCTGTGGAGTGGAGTCGGGAAGAAAATACAGTCTTTGGAGTCCCAGTCTG